GTTTCAAGGTTCAAGCTTATGTGTTCACTTTGCAAGGCATTGATGGGCCTGCAAATCCTCTCCCATGCCTTTTGATATGAGCTTGCCAGATGTCCACGTCCAGATATCGAACACGCTCAAATTTCTTGACTCCTGAGGTGGGAGTCCTTGAACCCCTCGGAGGCTGATCCTCCCCTCTCCTCCTCTCCTCCTCTCCTCCTCAACGGCATGTTGACTCCTCCCTCCTCTCCTCTCTGTTTCTTCTCGCGTTTGTTTCGCTCTCTCTCACATGCTCCTCTAGGTGGCGTTTGAGATCGCAGACACCATCGGCACTCCCTGCTATGCCTACGACCTGGCGACCCTCAAGAAGCAGGTGGAGCCTCAGGGTTGCGAGGAATCGAGTAATGAGAGGAACAGGCGGAGGCAGCCCTCGCCTTTCCCAACGCCTACGGCTTGACTGTGCGATACGCTATGAAGGTCATTCGACTCTGTTCCCCTGCCTCTCTCATCCTCTCCCAGGCCGCACCCAACGCTGCCATCCTGAAGCTCTTCCACTCCATGGGGCTTCACTTCGACTGCTCCTCCATCTTTGAGGTCTGAGGAGATCAACTCCCCTCCCTCCTCATGCCTGGCTGTGTGCAGGTCCAGCGTGCCATGGCGGCGGGAGTTCCTCCAGCCCACTGCTCGCTCTCCTCCCAAGTGCCTTGAGCATGAAGCTTGCGTGCCTCTGACAGCTGGCAGGAACTGGGCGAAGGGTTCGAGAAGCTGGTGGAGCAGGGCGTCAAGATCAACTGCTGCTCCCTCCTCCAGGTCGAGAAGTTCTGCGCCAAGTGCCCAGGTCAGGAGCGCTGGGGAGCAGGGGAACGAGTTTGAGTGCTGGAGCAGGGAAAGAGCTCGGGCTTCGCTTCAACCCTGGGGTCGGCTCAGGAGGAACGAGCAAGACGAACGTGGGAGGACCGTCTTCCTCCTTCGGCATCTGGCACGAGTACGCGGACAAGTGCAGCGAGATGGTGAAGGCTGCCGGCTGCAAAGTCGTTCGCGTGCACACGCACATCGGGTCGGGCTCAGACCCAGCGGTGTGGAGGAGATGCACCGGCATGTCCATCGCCCTGTGCGAGAAGTTCCCCGAGGTGACCGTCCTCAACCTTGGCGGAGGCTACAAGGTGGCGCGCATGCGCACAGACAAAGGAACCAACTTGCAGACGGACTGCGCGGTGGTAAAGGACGAGTTCGAGCAGTTCAGCAGCAAGTTTGGCCGTAAGCTGCACCTCGAGATCGAGCCTGGCACCTTCCTGTCGGCTAACAGCGCCTGCCTCGTCGCCTCTGTCCACGACATCGTCCAGACCGGCACCGACGAGGGGCACACCTTCATCAAGCTCGATGCCGGCATGACAGACGTGCTCCGCCCGAGCTTGTATGGAGCACAGGTGAGGGATGGTTCAGCCAAAGATGGAGGGAGAGCATAGGAGAGGAGGCGAGCAGGAGACTGACATGCTGCGGTAGCATCCCATCGTTGTTGTCCCTCGCGATGCTTCGAGGGCCTCCAAGAGGAAGTCCTACGTCGTTTGCGGTCACTGCTGCGAGTCTGGAGACCTCATGACGCCTGCCCCTGGTCTCTCCTCCTTCCCTAATCCAAACCCTCCCCCCCCAACCTCGTCCTCGTCCTCGTCCTCCCCCCTCCCCCCCCCCCCCCCCCTCCCCCTCTTGCCACCTTCTTTTGCCTTTTTCTGTTTCTCTTCCTCATTTGGCTTCTTGTCACTCCTTCTGCTCGCAGGTGAACCCGAAACCTTGTCGGAGCGCATGCTCTGTGAGGCCGTGCCGGGTGACGTCGTTGTCATCGAGGTAAAACCACCCGCTCCTCCTCCTCCTCCTCCTTCCTTGACACGCTGCAAGGCTTCGGGCGCCTACTGCTCGAGCATGAGCACCAAGAATTACAACTCGTTCCCTGAGGCTCCTGAGGTCGACGACTGGTCTCGTCTCTTCTCCTGACCATCTCGCCAGGTCATGATCGTCGACAACAAGGTGCATGTCATCCGCAAGCGCCAGGTGGTCGAGGACATCTGGAAGAACGAGGTGATAGGACGAGACGAGGAGGGGGAGGGGGGGAGAGGAGGAGGAGGGAGGAGGAGGAGGAAGAGGAGGGGAGGGTTGAAGCGCATCATGTTTCAGGTTGATCTGCCCGCGGGCGTCATTGCCAAGTAGATTCACTTGACTCAAATTGTCGGTGCTGATAAAGCTTGAGGAAACTAGCCCCCCTTCCGCTCTTCCCCTTCCTCCTTATCCCCACAGAGAGTCGGGGATCTCCCCAGTGAAGGCCGTGTCGAAGCGACCCGTCATGAGCACGTGACCTTCCTTCTCGCCGCCGCTACCAGGAGGAGCATACGTGATGACAAGCGAACCTCCGTCCATCTTCACCTCCGTCGTGTAGTTCTGCCAATCCATCGCTCAGCTCCTCCTCCTCCTCCTCCTCCTCCTCCTCCTCGCACCTCAGCCTTGCCCACGTATCCTCGGCGAATTGCGTTCACGGCAGTGGCACAGGCGCCAGTGCCGCATGCGAGGGTGATGCCGGTTCCTCGCTCCCACACGCGCATGCGGATGCTCTTCTTGTCTTTGCTTACCTGCCTCACGAATGAGATCAGTAGAGAAATACGAGGGGAGAGGAGAGATGAGGCGAGGGGAGAGGAGGGGATCATTGTAAGGAGTCCCATGGAGGTTATTCGAGGAAGTTGTTTGCTGGTGGGGAACCAACCGTGACAACAGACACGTTGCATCGCTCCGGAAAGAAGGCGTGATGCTCGAGATCATGACCAATCTGACATGAAATTCAAAACAAGGAGAGGAGAGGAGAGGAGAGGAGAGGAGAGGAGAGGAGAGGAGAGGAGAGGAGAGGAGAGGAGAGGAGAGGAGAGGAGAAGGGAGGAAGGGGGAGGGAGAGGGAGAGGCAAGCGGAGAATATAGGTTTTACCTCCTGAAGCGGAACTTTCTCGCAGTCATCCACGAAGAACGTGGCGTGTGGGTTACCCATGCTGCAAGGAAGTGAGGCAGGTACAGCAACTCACTATCTCAGTCTTCTCCTGCTCTTCCTCTCTTCTCTTCACCTGCAGCATGCGCAGTCCGTGAGCCCTGGACCCTCACACGCCTCCTGTCGACAGAAGCTTGACGTCAGGTTGCGAGACGAGAGGAAGAGCTGGAGAGAAGGCGATAGCAAAGAGAGAGAGAGAGAGAGAGAGAGAGAGAGAGAGAGAGAGAGAGAGGACTCGATGTGAATACGATGCGGAAAGGAAGGAGGGGGAGAAAAGGAGCATGAGGAGGAGGAGCAGAGGAGGAGGAGGAGCAGGGGAGGAGGAGGTACCTTGCAGTGAAGAGTGTCCACCTCCTTGCTCACAGGGACCTTGCCAGAAGGAGACCATCAGCTGGTCGGAACAGCAGGAGTAAGCGGCTACCTGCTCCCACTTCAAGCCCGGCTCCCCCATGTCCACCGTGATCATGTCGGGGTCTTCACACTGCACTACGTCAGTTTCTCCTCATGACGCACAGGCGGGCAACCTTGAAGCATCGCAGCAGACCAGCCTGACCCCAACCCCGTCAGCTCATCCACCATGGCAGGAGAAATGGTGAGGGAGAAGCAGTAGGAAAAGAAGGGAGGGGGGGGGGGAGGGAGGCAGCTTGACCTTGGTGCGGATGGTCGCCTCCGGTGCGTCTGGTTTCTCTTGGAAGAGAAGGCCGCCGATGCACCTGGTGGCGTTGCCGCAAGCTCCAACCTCCGAGCCGTCGGCGTTGACTGGCAGCAAGTCACACACACAACCCCCTCCCTCTCGTTAGCACAGATCTTCCTCCACCTAGTTTCCGCCAGGAGGAGGCAGGAGGAGGCAGGAGGAGGCAGGAGGAGGCAGGAGGAGCGGAGAGACTCACTGATCCTCATGCGGCACATGGCATCCTCGCAAGCCTCCAGGATGATAAGCTGGTCGCAGCCCTGAGGAGGGTGAGCGACAAGAGGAGGAGGAACGAGCTCTTACGATCCCTGTCTTCCTGTCCGTCAACGCGGTGGCTCTACGAGGCTCAGCAGCAGCAGAAAGCTAAGGAGAAGGTCAGCTCCCAATCACTACTCTTCCTCTCACTCCCCCTCTCCTCCTTCTCCCCCTCCTCGTTCTCCCTCTTCCCTCTCCGCCCATCCTTCCCCTCTCTCCCTCATTTCTTCTTCGTCGCACCTTGCTGTCTTGACGAGCATCGATGACGATGAAGTCGTTGCCCAGTCCGAACATCTTGCGAAACTTGACCGGCATGGTGGCGAGTGTCTTGTGAGAGTGAGGGGGGTAGGGGTACTTAGTTTCCGTTCTTCTCCCAAGATGCCATGAGGAGAATACAGGAAGAAAAGGGGGTAGGGGTCATAAAAGAAGGGGTCCTTGTTCCTGGATTTGGTTTAGTCTATGCCTTGATTGATTTTACTGGTTGTGCATCCCGTGTATGAGGGTGGGGTAGTCAGTATCACAGGGGGGTGGGGTGGCAAGAAGGTAAGTTTGGATAGTCCAATTAAATTTATCTGACAAAAATTCAATATTCAAGATTCTAGAATATAAATTTATGTTAACATTTCAAATTTCGAGCAAGTAGCCGAAATGTCGCGTGCAAAGAAAAAAAATCTTACCCCCACCTGGCAATTATCACTCACATGTAGGGGTAGTGATGCTAAGGGATGGGGTGGTTTTATTGGATGGTCATGTTCTCGAGGGGGTGGGGGTACTTCGCTCCCTGAATTCTTCTCTCTGCACAAGGCAATGGGCTTATCGAAAAGGGGTGGGGTAGTGTGACATAGTGGGTAGGGTAGTAGGAGATGGGGTAGGTGCTGTGAGGCCCTGCAAGGTTGTTTAGGTGAACACACCACCCCTAGTCCTGGGTCTTTTCACTACCCCCACCTACCCCCAATCACTTGAACCCGTGGAAAGAATGATTACCACCCGTTCGAAGATGATACAAGCTACCCCACCCCTCTTCAGACTGTTCTTGTTGTAGAACACCGGGTTATTCTTCAGGACCGGGTCATGAATCATAAGCAAATAGTACTACCCTACCTACCTGTTTGTTTACAACCGTGTACCGCACCCCTCCATTCCTTAGCCCCACCCCTCCTTCGCGAGTGTCAGATCCCGCAATGCCGCTCAAGACGCCTCGCAATGAAAACTTCGCAAAGTGAGTGAAGGAGGAGGAGGAGGAGGAGGAGAAGGAGGAGGAGAGGGACAGGTCACCTCCATTAGCAGAGAGGAGCAGAGAGCAGTTGAGAGAAGAGGCTACAAGATGGAATGAGGAGAGAGTTTCAGCCAAGAGACGGAGAAAGGTATGCTGGTTTCAAATGAGGGGAGAAACGTGGAACCATGAAACTGCTGATAGTGTGAAGGTCGAAAATTCTAGTACATCAGTTGATCAAAATTGTATGAGAAGCGAGCAAACAAATTCGATTCTCGAGAGTGCAGAAGGATGTTCATTAGCACAGCCGCCCAAGTACTTCGTGATCCGATATGGTGCTAGGGAGGGGTACGAGGAAGCGTATCAGACATGATCGAGCTGCTGTGAGCGCTCGTCTGCTTGTTTGTAGGGTGTGAGGCAGAGGCGGATGAGGTGGCTGAGGGTCACGAGGATGAAGAAAGCTGAGGCGGGGGGGGTGACGTGAGTTGGCAGGCTCACCGCTGGTTATCTTTTCCCAGTCATCAACCAGAAGAAGAAGGTCGCTAGTCCCTCTCCCTCCCTCACCTGACGTCTCCGCAGGATTATTTGGCTGCCAACCCCAACGCTTCCTTGATCTCCCTCGGCATCGGTAGAGCTGCGTTGCTCCCCGGGGGGTCGCCTTATCAACTGAATGACTCATACCTCGTAGGCGATACCACTCATCCTCTTCCTGCCGCTGTCTCTGATGTGAGCATGATGCAAACTTGCGCCTTGACAAGCTCTGAGGCTCTCTTGCAGGCCATGGCTTCCTATTCCAAGGGCTTGGGTTCCCAGGAGGTTCGCTTACCAGCATCACCCCCCCCCCCTCCCCCTCATCCTCCTCCTTACTCCTATTTTGGCTGCGAATGACCATGAAACCTGGAATCCGTTCCTGAGACTCTGTGTAGGGCTATGAGGGTTATGATCCCAAGTGCGAGAGCACTTTGAAGGAGAAGATCGCGAGTGTCTTGTACAACGGAATGGTTGCTGTCCCCCTTGACCTTACGGGGTCTCTAATGCAAGTGATCAGATCAAGCCGGACGAAGTCTTCGTCAGCGATGGCAGCAAGTGCGACATCGGCCGCCTCCAGCTTCTCTTCGGTACGAACCCCATCTATCTTCTCACTCCAGCATGCAGGCTCACTTGCTCTCTTAGGCACCAAGGCGACTGTCGCCGTGCAGGATCCTGCCTACCCCGTCTACGTTGACTCGAGCGTCATCATGGGACGCTCTGGACTCAACAACCCTGAGACGAAGCAGTACGCGGGTCTCACCTACATGCCGGTGAGACTGAACCTGGGCCCGCCTCTTCGAGCCTGTTGACACGAGGCTAGTGCACACCAGACAACGGGTTCTTCCCCGACATCTCGCTCGCCAAGGACAGCGACATCATCTACTTCTGTAGTCCCCTGCTCCCTCCTGTCCTTCCACTCATAAGAGCTGCAAGGCAACCCCAACAACCCCACTGGCGCTTGCGCGACCAAGCCCCAGCTTGAGAGCCTGGTCAACTTCGCCAAGGAGCACGGAAAGGTGCTAACGTGTGAGGTGAGGGCTGTGACGCTCATGACGCATGGCGTTCAGGTTATCATCTTCGATTCCGCCTACTCCTCCTTCATCACCGACCCTGCGTGCCCCAAGTCGATCTACGAGATCGAAGTGAGATAGCAGAGACGGCAGTGAGCAGGCTGTTCTGAGTTTTCGTGTTGTGGACAGGGAGCGAAGGAGGTTGCGATTGAGACCACTTCCTTCTCCAAGCTTGCGGGTTTCACTGGCGTTCGTCTGGGATGGATCGGTGACCTGCAGTCCCTACTGTCTGCCAACTCACCCGTCGGTTTCAGTTTGCCCAGCGGAGTTGAAGTTTGCGGATGGCACACCAGTCAAGGTAATGCCGAGCCTGATCCAACGCGTGTCTCATCTCATCTCAGAACGACCTTGGTCGCATCATGAGCACCTTGTTCAACGGCGCCAGCAGTGTCGCTCAGGTCGGTCGACTGATCAGCTTCCGTTGCCTCACTCGCATCCCGCAGCAAGGAGGCATCGCGGCCCTCGACAACATCAACCAGGTCATGGACATCGTCAAGTACTACCTGGAGAACGCCAAGCTCGTCCGCGAGGTAGACAGGGAGGACGAACTGGAAGGGGATGTGGAAACGGGAGGAAGGGAGGGGTCAGGGGAGGAGGCAGTATAGCTAAGCGAGTGCACACGCTTGGTGTAGTGCTGACTGTCGGCAGACCCTCGACTCCTGCGGCATCAAGTACTATGGAGGCGACAACGCTCCTTACATCTTCGCGCACTTCCCCGGAAGAGACTCGTGGGATGCTTTCGAGGAGATTCTCACCAAGTGCCAGGTCCCAATCAGTCTTAGCGCCACGAGATGCTGACGTCCTTCAGGTTGTCACAACTCCGGGCTTTGGCTTCGGGCCCGCCGGTCAGGTAGACCTGATGGCATTGTACTGAGACAGTGGCTGACCGGCTACTTCAGGGGTTCGTCCGCATCAGCGCCTTCGGACAGCGCGAGAACGTTGTCGAGGCTTGCAAGTGAGTTCAATGATGATTTGAAAAGAAGCGTGACAAGCAGAACAGGCGCCTTGCTAACCACTTCAAGAAGTAAAAAGCGTCATGCAGACAAACTTTGTGCTGAGCTAGCCTGATATGTACGATCCAGTGAACGAAATGATTGAGTTCGAAAGAGTTTCTTAACAAAATATTTGGTCCATTCCTCCCACATCTGTCATTTCGATCCCTCCCGTCTACGAAGTCTCGGTTGGCTGCAAGTCCAACTCCTTCAATGCAGCATCGACAGTCGCGCCATCCAAAATCTTGTACTGCAAAGAGCCTTCGACCATGGAAACTGTGGCAATTTCGACTGCGGAAGGTCAGCAACGAGAAACATCGAAGCATGAGTCACGTACGTTTCTCGGAGGTGAGGGAGGTGGAATCCATGCTCTTGTTGAGAACCTTGATGGCAAGCTTGACGGCCTCAGTAAGCTCCATGTCATTCTTGTATTCCTAAACATCTTCGTCAGTACACAATTCGCTGTTTCTGACTTTTTCACCTGCTTCAAGATCGACTGCGCAGCCTGATTGTTAGCACCAATGGCAGTTGCCTTCCATCCACCATAGTTCCCACTAGGATCGCTTTGGTAACTGAACAATACATCAGTACACCAGAGTTCATGTTCACAAATCAAAACAAACGCACAGTTGAAAACCGTAGTTTTTATCCCAACCAGCCCACAAGAACGAAACCCCAAAAGGTCTTAGCCCTCCAAACTGCACAAAGCCCATCAAGAGAACGCATCTCATACACAACATGTTTACCTGCGTGTATCCTTGCTTTCGATCACATAAATTAATAATCAATTGTTCTACAGGAATTGGTTCTTGATAAGTCAGCGAATAGCGCTGAGCTGCTAGACGAGCTGTACACGAAGAAGGAAAAGCATGAATCGTTTGCATTTCACAAGGAGAGCACAACTACCATAATTGATGAGAATGTTAGCATCAGCCGTGATACCAGCTACAGCACACGCCAGATGGTCGTCAACCTACGGGGACAACATGAATCGGGGACGGAAACCGCAGCAAGTACCTTGTACATCTTTTCACTGGAAATATTCTCAAGTAGCTTTGAAGTGATCTTCTTCTCAACTGCGAGAACAATACCGTCCTTGGCAAGTATTCCGACGCAGATTCCGGCGTGCGAGATAGCTTCCATAGCGTACTCAACTTGATAGAGACGACCCTCGGGGGAGAAGGTCGTCGTTCTTGAGTCATATCGTCTAGCCTACAGGTCGAAATCAACGGCAAACGGTCTGCGACAATGAATTGCAGGGTACCATGCTGGAGAAGAGCTCGGAGACAGCGGTCAAATATGAGAGTGCTGTTGGATTTGAAGAATAATCAGCTTTGAGAATATGATATCCACGTTTGTTTCAATGACATGTTCCCTCCTGAACAACTGCTCGTCTCCTTATTGCCATCATCTCAATACCACCTAACCTCTACAATTTCTTGCAGTCACCAATCAACAAGCATATGAAGATGCCATGATGTCCTTGTAGAGCAACACACCTTCAGTATGTGGAACCTGCTTGACTATGTGAAATATCATGCTAGCTATGCTGCTTCTCGTTCAAAGAGATGACATCTACATCTCTGAATCATACACTTTCCATCCAATTCTCGAAATAGTTGGACACAATCTCTCCTCTGGTATTGCGATGGATCTTTCTCAGTTTCGATGCTCTGTTGGGGTTCAGACGATCCTGTTACTTCCTCAATATATTTCCTCCTCATGAAGTGCCTTTTGCTCTGGTTAAACGTATGATCATGCTCCCTTCGACTTTTAAAAGTATTCAGAGGAAAATAATTTTCCACCAAGAGTACTTTCATGCCTGCAGCTCACAGCATCACCTGCTACGCATCTTCTAGTGGTCCACTCTTATTTCTCATTGTTATTCTTCTTCCTCTTTCATTCTTCTGATCTCTTCGTCGCTCCTCTTCCCCTCCTCACTTCTCCCTCCCTTGGTCTTCGCCATGCTCGCAGGACAGGTGTCAACCAATTTTAAATTCTGAATTGTAAAATTACCCCCACCCCTCTAGATCCATGAGTGATACCCTCATGACCACCCCTACTGTTCTAGTTCGTCTCTACATCCATCACCCCCACATTTCATATTGAAAACTACCGGTGCTTAAACTTCGGATCCCCTCATCCCCGTTCCAACTACCCGACGCCAGAAAACATGTGGGAACGATTCAGTCAAGATATTTTACTCAATTATATATCATTAAGGAAAATTGTGAATATTTTGAAATATTATTTGTGTGATACCAAATTTGAATCAAATATTTGATACCCTACTTCAATAATTTGGTACTATCGCAGAATTGTTTTTTTCAATCCACTCCACTCACTCAAATCAGTTGAAGCGAACTACAATGTCGCTCATCCTCCCTCCGTCCCTCCGTCCCTCCGTCTCTCCGTCCCTCCGTCCCTCCCTTCCCTCCCTTCCCTCCCTTCCCTCCCTCCCCTCCCTTCCTTCCCTTCCCTCCCTTCCCTCCCTCCCTCCCTTCCCTCCCTTCCCTCCCTTCCCTCCCTCCCTCCCTTCCCTCCCTCCCTCCCTCCCTCCCTTCCCTCCCTCCCTTACCTTGTCTGAACTCGTTTCATCCACACATACATCACTCATCCCTCAACTACTCATCACAGTCAATGTCTTCCCTTGCTCATTCTGTGCCTTCCCTCACTGAAATAGCCCCCTGGCGAACCATCCCATCTCCCGCCTTCTTGCACACTTCCTCTTGACCCCCTCCCTCTTCAGTTGCTCCGTCTTCTCCTTGTTTCTTGTTGCTGTCTGACTCTCCGCTGCAGCCATGGCGTCGCGGGTCGGTGACATCGATCCTGAGAGGGAGAAGCAGGCAAGGCCCTGGTACCCGAGCGCGAAGGCTCTGATCGTTGTGCAGGAGGCGCATCGAAGAGAAATGCTAGCTGCAAGACGAGAGGCGAACATTCGCAAGTGAGGACTTTGAAGCACGTACGCTCGCCCGTCACCTCTTTGTGCCTTCAGGCGGGAAGAAGAAAGGAGGCGCCGAGAGGAGGCCGAGGCTGAGGCAAAGGCCAGGTCGGAAGATCTCGAAAGGAGAAGAAGCGAAAACATCGCAAAGATCGACAAGACATGGATACAACAACAAGAGGAGCAGCGGCAGCGTGATGATGCGCTCATCGCCTTCATTCGAACTGCGAGAGAGCGGAGAGATGCTGAGCGTGAGATTGAGAAACAGGAGGAGATGGAGGGATGGCGGCGGCAAGAGAAGTACGACAAGTAAGTTGAGGCTCAACTTGCTAGACGAGCAGCTGCTGAGGGTGCTGCAGATTCATGGAGCTGGAGAAGAGGCGCGAGGCGAACATCAAGAAGCGACAAGACTCGTGGTCGTACGAGATGCAGACTAAAGCCTTGCAGGCAAGGAGGAACTGAGACAGGCGCGAGGCTTGACCGAGTCAGCAGGAACAAATCACCCTGCAGCGCCTCAACGCGCTCAACGAAAGGCGCCAGCAGAACATCCGAAGGATCGAAGACGAAGCGCGAGAGAAGGAGGAGTCGTTCATGGTCGCTCCTGCTCCCTTCCTTGCGGCTGCTCTGATGCTTGTGACGTCGTAGCTGGCCGAACGGGACAGAATCCTGATCCGAGAGGCGCGAGAGAGGCGGCAGGTGGAACGCGAGAAGTTGAAGCAGATGGAGAAGGTGAGGGAGTTGCGAGGGAGGGGCACGACTGATATGGAGACGCAGGAGGAGCACGAAAGGATGCTGAAGATCCAACTCGAGCAGACGCTGCAGCAGCGACGTGAGGAGAACATCAAGAACCGGGAGGCTGAGCTCGGTCCCTCCCTCCCTCCCTCTTATCCTCCCTAGTGACGTGGCGATGCAGCCAAGCGGCAGGTTGAGCGACGGGCGAGGGAGGCGAAAGTCTTGCAGGAGGCGCGGGAGTTGAGGATGCACGCGAGGGAGATGCAGAAACAATCTCAAGCAGCGGAGGAAGACTTCCGTCGCAACCAGGAGGTCGCTCCTCTTCCTCCTCTTCCTCCTTGCTCCGCTCCTCCATCAGGCTGACCTCATCGCCAGGAGATCGAACGGCGAAACATGCAGCTGGAGGAGCAGAGGGAGGCGAACATCGCAGCTCGGGCATGAGGAGGGAGAGAGGAGGGAGGGCCGTATGGGTCATGTAGGTGAAATTACGTTGAAAGATGTCAGACTGTCATGCTGTGTAGCCGTATGAGTTTGTCGTGGTAGAGGTCGAGAGAGTGGAGCCGCAAGTCCTCCTGCCGCTGCTTCCGCAAGTACTGGCAAGGCCATCAGAAGAGAAGGACAGAGGAAGGGGGGGGGAAGCTTCAGGAAGAGAGGAAGTGAGCTGAGGGAGAAGAGACAGGGCACGGAGCTCGCACATAGCATTTCACCTTGGAGATGTTCCATGGCTGTCGCTCCTCGTGCACGAGGACGTGTTCTGGCTGACCTCTGCCATGCTGGGCGTTAGCAGCCGCCATAGTTGCGACCAACTCACTCTTGCGTTGCCGTCGGCTGCTGGGGCTGGAGGAGGAAGGTCTTCCCGACATGCTCGTAGGAGACGCTCGGGGGGCTGTAGACGCAGTGGTAGCGAGCACCGAGTAGCCTAATCAGGTCGTCAGGGAGACGAGGGCTGGACTGCAGCAGCAACTTTGAGACGAGCATGGCGGGTAGGATGAGAACCCTGATGGAGGAGCCGAGCAAGCAGCGAAACCAGGGGCCAACGCGCGAGAAGAGTCCTGGAGGAGGGTGAGGGAGAGGAGGGAGAGGGGAAGGCACTACGGTAAGTGAGGGGGTAAGCGGGGAGATATCGGACGGGATCGCCAGGGAAGAAGACGTTCTCGAATGCGGAGTCTTGACTGGCCCGAACCTGCTGGAGCATGAGGAAGGGAACCGGCGGCATCGTGTCACCTTGCTGGCAAGAGCTGTGTCTCCTGGGAATGGAGGGGCCAGCGCGACACTGGAAACGTATGAGGAGGACAAGGAGAGGGAGAGGAGACGAAGAAGAGGAAAGGATAGAGCCAGAAAATGAGGAGGAGGAGGAGGAGGAGGAGTAGGAGGGGGGAGGAGGCGGGGAAGGGGGTGGGGGGGGGAGAGTAGGGCAAGGAGAAGGGGAACAAGGGCAAGGGAGCCAGCAACCTGTAGAACGTCTTGCATACCACAGGCCAAGAGAGTATCTTCAGTTCCTGTAGTCGCGAGTGAGAGGAGGAGGAGCAAGTCGCGCATGCCTTACCTGGGCGCTCCACAGGTGGGCAGCAGCTCCGGCAAGACCGAAACCAGTGACAAGCAGCTCACGGTGGAGGATGAACCTCCAGACCTGCTTCAGACTTTAAGCTCCTCCCTCCCCTCCTCCCTGCTCCTCTCCCTCCCCTCCTTTCCTCCTTGCCCCTCTCCATCCCCCTCTCCTGCTCTCCTCCCCGTCCCCTCTGTCTCTTCCCCATCCCGTCCTCCTTTGCTCGTCTGCATTCTGTAGGGACCTGGGGTGAGTTGTGTAGCTTGGAGCAGACATCTATCAGAAGCTCTGACGCTTCACGTTGCATGCGTCCGAATCCAACCCTGCTCAAGATGTGAGGGACTACAATCTCCTCTACGATTCAAGATAATCATCCAACATCGATCCCACGCTATCGTCATCACGCTATAGCAGAATAATCGTCATCGTCATCGTCATTACGACGAAGACAGCAGCAGCAGCAGCATCAGCAACATCGTCGTCATCACCATTACTTACCCTCATCCTTATTATCACCATCATCGCCTTTCACAACAACATACCTCTCGACAACGTTGTTGGGCTTCAGCGTCATTTCATCGTTCCTCCACTGATCTGAAAGTCTCTTAGCGCAAGTCGAACTCGCTTGTCACACCTGAGATGCAGATGACGGCGATGGTTGAGTTGCATGCGACGAAGAAAGGTGCTTCCTCCTCCTCCTTTTCATTCCCCCACCTTCTCGCACGTGCAGCTTCAGCCCCTCCCCTTCCTCCCTCCTCCACTGACTCACCACACGATCCTCAAGTCGTCGACCATGGCGATCGCGGCGGACACAAGGTGCTCCCATGCCTGCATGAGGTGGGGAGTGAACGGGGAAGAACGACGAGCGAGGAAGGGAGCACCTTAGTTGCCCTCTCTGAGCTGACCAGAGGATCCTCCCAGACAGACCGCAACGAGGAATCACCATCGCGGTAGGACGAGTGGAAGATGGGTCCCTGCTCCAGCTGCTCCATGCACATCTCGAACCTCAGGCTGCTTCTCAGAGACCTGCTCTCCTCTCAGTCACGACCAACATCGCGAGCTGCTTCACCTCTCCCCGCTCGGATCAGAGTTCATCAGCGTTCGGAGCTTTGCCTGGGAGCAGTCAGTGTTTCCTCGGGGCGTCAGGCGCTCACCTGGGCGTCGATCATGGTTTTCTCCCTCGCGCATTTGCACGTCACAGCTGCGAGCGCGAACCGAAGCGCCTGAGAGCCCAAGATGCCTCCGCTGGTAGTGAAGGAGAAGATCTGCAAACCCGTCAGCTCGTCAGCTTCCCTCTCTGCCTCGTCAACCTTGGACTGGTTGCCCCGAACTCCTCCCTTGCTCACTCCCACCACAAACATCGAGTAGGACAAGCCTGGTCGCAGGCCCTTGACAGTCACCGACAAGTCTTCTGAGTTCTTCTCCCTGCAGCTCCTGTCCACCACCAGCCGCTTGTACGAGTGGTCCCATTGCTCTATGTTGATGCAGTCCGCAGCCTTGCGCTTGGCCGGGCTGAAGGACTTGAGGACGGTGTCGATCCTCCTGTTGTCTGTCTCCGGGCAGGTGGTCTCGGACGAGAAGTAGATCTCGATGAACTCAACCGTCTCCGGGATCGACTTGAGGTCCCTGCCATCCTGTCAGGGAAGCACCGGCCCCCCCGCGCGTTACCAGTGAAGACGGGCGGTGAACCTGCCGGTCTCCACGTCCCGGGGGAGGACAGACATCGAGTTGCGGACCGAGTAGATCTTTCGCAGAGACCTTGACAGAGATCAGACGCTCCGAGCCGGGTCTCTTCCTCCAACCAACCTGACCCACGCGGCCATAGACCCCACAGCATGCACCCCCACCGCCCATCTGGCCATCTGCTGGTTGGAGGCGCTCAAGCGCGTGTAGGAGTAGGCAGCGAGGGCTTGGATCATGGTTGTCAGCGGGCCTGGACAGAAGCATGCGAGGAAGGAGTTCCAAGCCCCTCTGCAGAGAGGGATCTCCAGGCGCCGGATCGCCCGCCTATCGTCAAGGTCAGCTGCTCCTCCGCTAAGGACGACGATCACACCTGAAGCGAAGCTCGCCGAGCACCATGAGCAAGAGACCTTCAGACGAGAATCACTCGCGTCACATCCTCTCTCCTCCTCTACCGGATGCTCCAACTCTCAGGCACGGGACAGTCATGAGTCGTCGAATGGCCTGCGAGAGAGCATTCATGGTCTCTGAGCTGCTTCCGCGTAGCTTGACGTTGTTGAGGATGCTCCAGATATCTTGTCGCGATCCTGCCGCCATGAGCATCGCGAGGCTGCAAACCGACAGGCCCCCAGCATAGAGCGGAGCTAACATGCATATCAGGAGCACAGAGGAGGAGGGAGAGCCATACTCGTCAGAGCGACGTCTGCAACCTCCTTGGACATGCCTGGCCATAGCAGAATCTTCGATGCGGCACCTCTCGCCTGCCCCTCCTCCTCCTCCCTTCCTCCCGCTCCCTCCATCATCATCATCCTCCCTTCCTCCCTCCCATTCCTCTGCTCCACTCCCGGTCCATTCGCATCCCCTGTTGGACCCACATCCCCGCTCGTACAGGATTTCACTTACAGGCCCCACTGTACAGGCCCCAGTTACCGACGGCCCGTGACTGGGCCGGGGGCCCGGCCTGTCGGCGGGCCGAGCCCTCCCATCACGCGGCTGGCCCGGCCTCAGCCGCGGCGACCGCAAGCCAAGCCGCCGCAGTAAGCTAAGAGACATTGACAATCAAGAATCGGATGTAGTGCTGTCTGCCCCATCCGATTGAACTTGAACAACTTGGCAACGCCGGTCCAAGATGAGATAGGACTCGGGTGACAGTGACTCCGAGTGACCATCGCTGGATGGTCACGTAGTTACCGTAGTACTGCCAGGCTGCTACTACATCAGGACTGAGTGACGCCGTTCAAGTTGTAACGACTCGTCGGTATGTTTGTCACGGCGAGAGAGCCTGGGGAGGACTAACTTTCCATGGTATTTTCTCAATGCTCGCTTTTTATCCGATTTTCGAGCGGGGTACCTCAGCCTAGGCTTATCAATGTTTAAGTTTATAATTGAGCATTGGAAAATACCATGGAATGAGTTTCAAACTTGGAAACAACATGCAGGACGGTGGATCACAAATCAGATCAGTACCATGCTGTCTGGTATCGTCATCCTATTCCCACTGTGAGCTACCGTAGGCGTCCACCGTCTGGGCCACTGGGCCCGCGGCAAGGCCCGGGCGTCCGGTATGAGAAGTGCCACGGTTGCCGCTCGCTTGAGAGCGGCAACCGTGTCTGGAGTCCTCTCCTCCACCTACTAGTCGGACGTTCGGACGTCACGGCAAGTTGTGATGAACTTAACCCGGCAGCTCAGTAGCGTCTTTCTTCAGGTAGTAGGGGCAATTATTCTTCCGGGGGAAACATTATTCTATATCTATGTTCTCCACCCCTACCCCCTACCCCCTGCCCCCCCCTCTAAAAACATCTTCTACACCGGTCCTACCTCAGCAAGCTCCAAGGTTTGCGGGCGGAAACATTTTTTCAAGCTTGGTCACCACCCCCCTTTTTGAGGGCTCGGAGGGGGGTAGGACGACAATTGCTGTTCCACCCTTCGCTCCACCACCCCTGTCTTTGACCGTCTTTTATGGGGTTATACACCATGAGAGCTGGGGGTGCATTTTGCAGAGGTTTTAGGGAATAAATTCTCGACGAGACGGACGAGAATCGCACAGGAGCATGCCCATGCACTTGAGCGCCCTCCCCCTCCTACCTCTGGTCCTCCTTGCTGCTCTGGCATGCTTGCCCCAAGAATGCCATGGTGCTAATGATGAAGAACATGGCTCTTGTACGTCTGGACGCATGGTCTTCACCGATACGGGAAGCTCCATGGTACGAGTCCTCGACCTCGACGACGGAAAAGTGGAGAAAGAGATAGACGGGATCGGGACCACCCCTGCAGCTATCTATCCAACATCTGACTATAAGAGTGTCGTCGTTAACTTCAGGGCCCTCCACGAGTTCTTCCTCGTCCATTCAGGTCTCTCGCTCGAGTCACATGGAGACCATGCGGACGTCAGCAAGTCCGACCCGACCAAGTTCAGTATTGAGGGGAAGTGTACAGACTGCAAACTTCCCACGCACTTCTCTGGTGGTTACAACCGTATGGTCATCTTCTTCGATGGAACGTCAGCTCCCCAGAACGAGCCGACTGTTAGGTCTCGAGCTGTCGCCATTGACGACAGACTCTCGATGCTAGCTGACACCACCAAGAAGACCTTGGACAGCAGGATCGAGTTTGACTCCACCTGGATGGCTCCTCAGCATGGCATTGCTGTGCCTTTGGCGCAAGATGTCTTCCTCGTCTCTCTACCCAACCCAGCGTTCAACAGCAGCGCCTGTGCGACACCTCACACGTCGTGCGACTCGCTTTCCAGTCAATTCAAGGCAGTGAAGAAGACAGCGTCCGGAAACGTTGACGTCGCATGGAACACTCCCAGAGACTGTCCGGGCTATCATGGTCATGCGATGGGAATGGGAGGATGGCACGCGATCGGCTGCGGAAATGGACGAGGGGGCATCAACCTCCAAAACAGCTACTTCCTGGCGGTAAAATACAGCAACGACGCGATCGAGTCTTTCAATGTAAAGTATCATGAAGCTGGAGGATCCATCGGCACCTTCGTCGGTCATGATAACCAGGCTGTTCTTGTAGGAGTCTACAACAAAGACGGCTCTAGAAGCTTTGTCCGCTGGAGAGGGGGCGACAAGAGTTACACAGTCAATGACGTCATGGCGGTCCCAGCAGGTGTCATTCCTGTCTCTTATGGATTCGAAATGGTGAGCGGCAAAGTATTCGTCGCGTTCTACACGAGCGGTGAGGTGAAGCTGTACGACGTGAGCTCCAGCTGGAAAGAGCTGGCTTCGCTCAAGGTGGTGGAGCCTTTCACGTCTACGAGCAAGTATCAGCTTGTATTGGGCTACCATAAGATGTACTTGCTCGACCCTGATCAGTCCAAGATCACAGAGATAGACATAAAGGACGACTCGGTCTTGTCTACTGGAAGAAGTTTCACAGTGACCGGGAAGCCAACCGCTGGCGTCGTGATTGGCATGACTCCGATGGAAGCGTTGGAGGCAGCTTGTGGAGGCGGAGAAGAGAGCCATGAAACCTTCTCAGCTGGAGTGCAGCTGACGTACGCAGCTGGAAGCTTTGTGATGGCCATCGCTGTTTCTATTCTCAACTTGCACATGTAAAAGGCAACAGACGCCTTAGATTGATGTCCTAAAGAATTTCTCCCGAGTCATATCCATTCTTGTAGGATTTCCTCAAGAAAAAGTAAAATTTGACGTCACACATACTCTCTATCAAATGTTCGACCTTGAAAGGTTCATGTCAGATATTCAGTAAGCCACATTGCATTTAGTTCAGGTTCTATTTGAACGCTTTCCCAGGGACTCTAGAACTCTCGATAAAAGCGCGGTGTTACATGTTGGAGCTTCGCATGCACAGCAAGCACGAGGGACGTTGTCACTTGCTTGAGACCGAAGAGCTCTGATTCGATAATGACCGGGACGACGATCATTCGGAGGCTTCAACAAACCTGATGTATTGCTCTCATCAATCGAGACAGAGGGACGACTCATGCAGATAAAATATCTTCAAGAGGATGGCAAAGGAGTTCATGGGAGGAACGAACCAGGTTCTGCTGTTTCTTCACGGGTCTGGTAATCCTGAAGAATTGTCCAGCTCAACATCAGCAGGAGGCTGGTGATTCAGCACAGGTCGAGACATCAGCGACAAGGTGATGGAATGGCCATGGGACGGTGTGAGATACGTTTGGTTGTAACAATCAGAAGAATGGAAACAGTGGATAAGCCAACTAACAAGCAGCAGGCATCTGAATGAAAACTTCATACCTAAGATGACTACCACGAAAGTAGAAATGTGGAATTGGCAAGAGGGATTGTGATGATTCTTTCAGAAGAGGCGAAGCATGAATAGAATGAATAGATGTGCTGCAATGCACTCATAGCTCCATCCTCCTTGTCACGAGCTCTATCACCCACTCGTCTGCGTCGCCCTGGAGGGCATGGAGGAACCTGAGCCGGCGGGTCAGACCCACGGGGCAGGCGGCCGAGAAGGCTCTCACATGGGAAGAGGCGAGACTTCCTCTTCGAACTCTTCAGGGTCTCCGTCAAACGCCTCCAGCAGCAGCAGCAGCAGAGCTCGTCGGAGCTGCACGGGAGAGCAGCTGAGGGGAAGGGAGCTCTAGAGCAGGGCATCACCTCAGCTTCATCCGAGGGGATGGTATCCAGCAAGTAGTGCATGACCTGCCAGCTGCTTGTCAAGGCCAGGAGGCAGTCAGGACCCTGCCGGCGCTCACGGCGAGAGGAGACATGGAGAGGACATCCAGGTTCGGCTTCTGCAGGACAAGTCAGAGCAGCGAGCAGTCGCTACTTCATCATCCCCACCATCTCCCCCGCGAGGAATGCTGAGGTCGACGAGGAGGGAGATGTCTGCCCCGGGGCCGCCAGGAGGACTGAGAGGAGCAAGCGCGTCACTCGCACGAGCAAGTCAGTCCGCGGTTCCTCCACAACTCCCAGGAGCAGCTCAAGACGCTCCCGCAGGACCTGCGAACCTCCGTCAGCTTCTCATCCTTGGCAGCCATCCATCGACATGCAGCTGACGAGCTTGCGCCTGCTGCCATGCGGAGCTGTCGAGGACTGCGAGCTGACGAGCTTCGTGCCTGACAAGTGGAGTTAGAGGAATTCTCGTCCTCGTGCTCGTCCTCGTCCTCCTCTACTTCCATACTTACACAAGAAGGGAGGTCACGGTAAAGAAGCACTCATGCGCTCTTGTTCCAAGCCGGAGCAGCTCCCTTTCCATCGCTTGTACTAGCACGCTGCCCTCACTCTTCTGCTGTGCTCAAACACTCGTCAGCTGCTGAAGGAAGGCGTGGAGAAAGGAGAGAAGGAGGAGGAGGAGGAAGGTACGAGTACGTTAAGATGAAACAGCCAGGCGATAGCAATGTCGACGCTCGACTCGTCGTCAGAGATGACGTGAAGTGCCAGGGCCTGCATGGCAGCAGCAGTCTCGTCCCCTGTGTCGTCGTGCGTCTGCTGCCACCTCAACAACTAGCTGGGGAACCAGCTCAGCTCACCTGCTGCATCAGACTATCGGGCGGACGCTCATCCTCCTTCAATGCCTGGCAGTCCTCCAGCATCTCCCGCATCGCACGCTCAGCCCGTTGGCGATCGGGTGTGTCTAGGGAAGGAGGAAGAAGCTTGGGGGCTACTCGCTCCACCCAGACCTCAGCTACCTTGCCTCTGTAAGTCCATAGGGCTGAGATCAACATCTACTCCCCCGGTGAGCCGAACTGAAGCACACAGGCTCCTCACCTCCAGCTCGTCGGATGACAGCTTGCTGGGAGACTCGCATGTGCCAGCGTTGATCCGTGAATGCGTCCAGTCGACTTGCGAGCAGCGAGCATGACATGCGAGCAGCGAGCAGAAGATCTAGTTGTCAGCAGCTTAGCACGGAGAGAAGTGGGTTGGCTCTCATACCTGCACGAGACAAGCTTGCTCTTCAAGCATGGTTGTTTCTCGCACAAGATGCGCAATGGTCCGCATCACGTTTGTGTTGAGAAGAAATTCACGGACTTGAGATACCGTCTTCTGCTGTAAAGCGAAGGCCAGGAGCTGCATGCCTAAGCGGCTCCCTCGGCTTCTTGCCTTTAGCCCTGCATAACTTCGAAAGAATCAGCAGAGCAGATGCTGGTCGTCGTCTCACTTGAGGATGTCAAAGGCAGTCTGCAGGTCTACCAGCAAGACTGCTTGCTCGTCTACATGGCCTTCGATGGTGACAAGAGCAAGCATGCAAGTGGTAGCGGCTTGCCAGACTTTCTCTACCGGGAAATCAGGGGAAGCCACATGATCAACCATCGCACCTCTCGTCTCTCTGAGATGCGACAGGGTGTTGACCATCTGGTAGCTGTCAGCCTCTCAGCAGAGAACTCATTAAGCTCACTCGGAGAAGAATCTCACGCAGGGAGCAGTTGATGGAGTCGACCAGGTAGTCGTAGCGGATGCTGTACGAATGCTCCTCCGACGGGATGCGGGTGACAGCATATCGATCCGTAGCGAGCACCTGGGAGCGCAGCGACAAGTTGAAGAGAAGATCCAGAGAGAGAACTCGAGTACTCTCCTCAGCCTGCGTCACGAGCTCCTAGCAAGCTAGAATCAGAGGGGGCTCGGGCAGGACAGCAGCACTACGAGGAAGAAGTTGGAGATCAGATGAGATGCTATCATGGGCTCTCGGACGAAGAGGAAGATGATGCCCTGGGAAAGCATCAGGAAGGAGGGAAGGAAGGAGGCAGCAAGAACCTCCATCAGTGCCTTTCATCCCAATCGCAATTCACAACATGTCAGGTGCACCAGACTAAGGAGAGATTGTACCTGGCAGGCCTGCACTCGCTTTTGCCGGGGCAGCTTGTCTTGTTTAATCACGGATATGAAATGTTCGAGCTCATCCGCCGAGAGATCTCGACCGAACCTGAAGTTGGTTCAGCAGGTTCAGCAGGTTCAGCAGCAAGGAGCGGAGGAGCAGAGATTCACTTCTTCTCTTCTATACGGATGAGCTGCCGTGTCTTCCGCCGCCATTCCGAGGATATGGTCTCACGGGTGCGACGGATCGACTTGTCGGTCAGATTCGAAAGCTCATGGTTGCTGAAGAAAAACTTTGTCAGTGTATTGCCTGGAAGGATTGAGATAACTTTGCAGACAGGATCTGTTAGTTCCAATCCTAGCGCATGTACCCTTCTCCCTCACTCCTTCATCCTCTGCTTCTTGTCTTCGCATCTTTCATCCTCTGCATGCCACTCACCTCCCGAGTATCTTCACCTTCGCCTCCATGACTGCCTTCCCTTGGTTCGCTTTCCCTCCAAATTTTTGAAATTTTACATCTCAAGTTCAAATTTCCCTCACACTTGCCGGGGCCCGGCCCGAGGACTCCCGCGGCCGCCCGGTGACCGCCGTTGCACTGCTCAGTGCCGATCGGACAGTGCTCACATTGAGCCTCTGCCACCGCATTTGAGGACTCTGCCCCCGGAGAGCTGGGCAACTTGTGACTTGACCCTGACAAGTTGACGGAGCACAAGCCTTGTTAGACTTGTACTATACCAAAGTCACGCAGATATCACATCGACAAGACAGTTTTTGCTCAAGACCGACTCCGAGTTTTATGCCACACAAAATCAGAATTGAGGAGCACATGAGAGATAGACTGTATGCTAGGATGTGAAACCCAAGCATCCAGACATGAGAGGGCTAGGAAAGCCCCCTCTCAGCCTCTCAGCTGTGACTCTCAGCCTGTGAGTAAACTTCAAGTTTGCCGGGTCACGTGGTAGGCCCGGGTCAACTAATTCTTTTACTCAAAATAATACCTGAAATCCTTGAATGGTTTTTTGGCGGGAAGGTGAAATTTTCTGAAGACAACTGAGGAGCAGGAGGAGCAGGAGGAGCAGGAGGAGCAGGAGGAGCAGGAGGAGCAGGAGACGATCTGTATCACTCCAACATGCAGGCAAGGCCAGAGACGATGAAGAGTCGGCTATTTGCAGATGCAATGCTGTCGTTGACCGATTCTTTGAACCCTGCCATGAAAGTGAAGAACCTTCAGAAGTGCTCGCTGATGCTCGAAGATCCATTCTGGATGGAATTGGACAGGACAGTGGACTGCAAGGACCTTCTGCATACTTCGTTTACAGTGAGAGAAGATGTTTCGTCGAGGCTCCAGAGGGCGATGAGAGCCTACGTCTCCGACGATGATGTGATGCAGGTGGTGCATGCTTGCGGCCCGCAGTTGCAGCATGATCAGGAGAGCTTTTCCTTCGATTTCGACGAGATTTGGTCTCTGCCTGCATTTCAAGAGATGAAAAAGAGCATGAAGAAGGCTGAAAGAATGGAAATCGACAACTCGATTACTTTCTCTCATGCAGCCTGCCGACGTTTCCAAGAACTCAACGCTATAGTTGGTGGGACCGCAAGAAATTCGTTGGAAATTGCTCCTCCACCGCAGGGGCTCAACATGAAGGAGAATCTTTTGCAGGACAATGAAGCAAATCCGTGGAAACAATCGGAGGAGATGAGAAAGCGCAAAATAATCGAGGTTTCAGGAAGATGTGAGAACAGCATTGCTTCCAGGTGAGACGTGCTGATGAGATAGGTTGTATTTTCCCTCATTATTGCTTTAAGGTGGAACAATGGAGCCATGGGTCCAGTGGCAGGTTGGAGACAAGAAGAGCATACTGCCAACTCTGGTCGAGACGAAAATTCTCAGAACAGACCGAACGATTTCATGTCAGGATCTGACAAGTATAGGCTAGACAAAGCAAACGGGCAAAGGTGAACAAGGGAGACTGCTTGTGATGATCAATTAAAGTGTTTGACAGGAATGATCGCTCCGAGATGCAAGGAGGAAATACATCTGGTTGGCATATAGCAAATGCAGGTCAAAGAAAGACTTTAGGCGGAAAACGGTCGAACCTGAACAACGCCTTTGTACCACCCTGGATGAAAAAAGAAGATGGTGACGAGGGGGGCATGAATCAAGAATCAAGACAACGTGACTCGAACCCTCAAAGAGCAGATTCTGAGCCCACGGATCCTCGACTCAAAAACATTGAACCGAAAATGATCGAAATGATCGAGAGTGAGATATTGGATCAGAGTCCTGGAATAAGTTGGGATGATATAGCTGGACTCGAATTTGCTAAGGCAAGTGTGATGGAGATTGTTGTTTGGCCCATGCTTCGCCCAGACATCTTTACTGGTCTGCGAGGGCCACCCAAAGGGTTGCTTCTGTTTGGGCCTCCAGGAACGGGGAAAACCATGATTGGAAAGACGATTGCTACGGAGTCAGGGGCAACATTTTTCTCAATCTCTGCTAGTTCACTCATGTCAAAATGGATAGGTGATGAGCTTTCACGAAAGTATCTTTATTTGACCCAAATTGCAGGGGAGGGAGAGAAAATGGTTAGGGCCCTATTTGCTGTTGCGCGTGTCAATGTAAACATTGAATTTGCTGAATTGCGATTGATTTACATACATTTTCGAATATCAACAGGCTCCTTCGGTGATCTTCATAGATGAAATCGACTCCTTGCTGTCACAACGATCAGAAGGAGACTTCGAAGCTTCGAGACGAGTCAAGACAGAGTTTCTGGTACAAATGGACGGCGTTGCCTGTTCTCAAGAGGAAAGGATCTTGCTCGTTGGCGCCACGAATCGTCCACAAGTATACCAACTCTCAGGCGAAACGGTTGTCCGACCTGATGCTTCGCCTCAATCTGCAGGAACTTGATGAGGCTGCAAGACGTAGGATGGTGAAACGTCTGTACATCCCCCTCCCGGACTCGGCAGCTCGTCAACAGTTGGTCACACATCTCATGAGGAATCAAAGTCATGACCTTTGTGAAATGGTGTGCACCATTGCTGTTTGGTCAAACACTCTTTGAAGAATTTTTCTTTCAGGACCTCCAAGAAATTGCAAACTTGACCAAGGGCTATTCAGGAGCAGATGTCAAGGCTCTCTGCACCGAAGCTGCGGTCAAGGCGTTTGGTGTGGCATGCGATGTAGCTCACTGTCTGCAGATGGGTCCCATTCGAGGGCTTGCAGATATACGGAGGATTAGTGCTCAAAGGTAATCTGACTTCCGTGGATTAAGCTGGAGAAAGCTGACCCGAGTTCAATCAAAGCGTTCGTCCGATCAACATTCAAGATTTCAAGAACGCTTTGAGACAGGTGTCCCCTTGTATTTTTACTAGTCCAGCTGATCATTTCTCTCTTCAGGTCCGAGCCAGCGTTTCTGACAAGGACATCTCTAACTACATAGAGTGGAACCAACAATACGGTTCGTTCCCGGTAGAAGATGAGGAAAGTTCTGCTGCCTGAATGAACCGTTGAACTGCTTTACTGAGCTGAGAGATTTGTTCCGATTGAAACGCTACAATACGGTTCGTTCCCGGTAGACAAGCTGACAGCAAACTCTGGCTCCTGCCCCCGAAAGTTGAAAATCATGCGGCCGGACCTGCCCGATTCCACCGAAGCCAGTCTTTACTCGAAGTTAAGTTAAAAAGTCCGACGGTCAGTGACTTGCCGGAGTCCGGCCATGGCGTCACGGTTGTCCCGGGCCGCCGATCATGATCGGATCTTTCGGGGAGCCTCTCCCGTGCGGCCCGGATGGGTCGGAACGAAATTGTTCTTTTTTTATATTTCGCTTTTTACACAAGGTTTCAAGTTCAACTGCTATCATGTATTTTCAATTTAAACAATAAAATTTGAAAATATTATTTGAAATAATGCACTAAAACAAATAATAAGAAAAGTGACGCGAAAATGAAAAATGCAGGGAGGGGACGGAAGTTTGTGGAGCGATGAAGAGAGGAGGAGGAGGAGAAGTGGAGAAACTCAGTGAGCTGAGAGCAGAATAAGAGAGGGAGAAGGGGGCAAAGAGGGAAAGAGTGACGGAAAGGGTCAAGGAGAGAGGAGGGAAGAGGATTGGAAGAGGGGTTGGGCGAGGAAACGGTAAGTGGAGGAATAGAAAGATTCATATCCAAGGGGAGGGGGATGCACTCGGGCATGGATCGAATGGTTGAATTTGATGGTTGTGAAGATGAAACATGGAGAGAGGGGGAGAGAGATGGAGAGGGAGGGAGAGAGAGGGAGAGAGGAGAGCGAGAGGGAAAGTGGAGGAGTATCGCCGTTGGAGTAGAGGAATCAGAGAATTTCGTGGCTAGCGAAATGATAGCGAGTTGAGAAGCGGGAAGAAAGAGGCCGGAGAGTTGGAGAGTTGTGTATTAACAAGATGATCTGAGAGTTTGACTGAGATCTCATCAGGCATGGCGGCGAAGTTCGCTCTCCGTCTTCTCGCAGTTGTGCTGCTGATTGATGGCAGCATCAGTCTTCCGATCCTCTCGCAGCTCTCGCATCCTCTCTTGATCTTGAGGCCTCCTCGAGGAGAAAAATCCGCATCGGGAGCTGCTGCTTTGCGGGCATCGCACGTTCCTCCTCCGCCTCTAGTGAGAGGGTTCGGGGAGGGGCTACGGGAGGACGTGAGCTCGAGGTCCAAGTTGTACTGGAGCGACATCAAGGACGGGCTGAAGCTGCAGACGCTCTCGACCGTCGCCTTCCTCTTCTTTGCGTGTCTCGCCCCTGCCTTGGCGTTTGGAGGGCTCATGTCCGGCATGACAGGAGGAAACATCGGTACCGTCGAGTACCTGATGAGCACGGGGATCTGCGGGATGGTCTACGCAGCTTTCTCTGGGCAGCCTCTGACTATCATCGGGAGCACGGGGCCTGTCCTTGCCTTCACTGCCGTCCTCTATCAGTTCTCGCTCAGCATGGGCCTTCCCTTCCTTCCCCTCTACGCCTGGACGGGGTTGTGGAGTAGCTTGTTCCTCCTCATGGGAAGTTTCTTCTCCTTCTCAAACGTGGTCGCCCGGCTCACGCGGTTCACGGACGAGATCTTCTCGCTTCTCATCTCCTTCATCTTCATCTTCGAGGCCGTCAAGGAGTCTTGGAAGCTCTTTGCCGTCGCTCGGACTCCCGCTGCATTCAACATCGCAAGCTCGAGCTTGATCCTCGCCTCCTCCGCCTTCCTCACTGCTACCTCCCTCTCCAAGCTCCGCGCCACCAAATTCTTCAACAAGTCTCTACGTGACACGATTTCCAACTTCGCTCCCACCATCGGCGTTGCGCTTGCATGGTTTATCGGCATGCAGTTCAAGTCCAACTTCGGTATCAGCTTGAGCGGCCTCGATGTTCCTGCTGCTCTTTCCACCACCAGCGGACGTCCATGGCTCATCGACTTGATGGAACTTCCTCTCTGGGCCCGATTCGCGTCCGCCGTCCCCGCGTTCATGGCGACCATCCTGCTCTTTATGGATCAGAACATCACGGTCAGGCTCGTCAACTCGGACAAGCACAAGCTAAAGAAGGGGCACGGCTACGACCTCGACCTGCTCATCATCGCTCTCCTCACAGGAGGCTGCTCCGTCATCGGGTTCCCTTGGCTCGTCGCTGCCACCGTCCGTTCGTTGGCGCACGTGCGGGCCAACACCGTCTACCAGAGCGGAACGACCAACGTGCAAGGAGTGCTGGAGCAGAGGGTCACTGGCTTTCTTATCCACCTCCTCATCGCTCTCTCCATCCTCTTCCTCCGTCCTACCCTGGCAACAGTCCCCAAGTGCGTCATGACAGGTAGCGAAGGCCTCCGCCATGGTCGCCCTCTCACCGTCTGCAGGCCTCTTCATGTACCTCGGCGCCTCCTCGCTGGGCGGGGTTGACATGTGGGAGCGAATGAAGCTGCTCATCTCTGAGAGGGTGAACGACAACAAGTTCCTATGGAAGGACAAGCTGATCCCCAGCACAGTGGTGAGTTCGTGCTCGGGTGACGGGAGCTCTCTGACGTTTCCCCCCTAGTTGTCTTCCTTCACTCTCATCCAGATGGCTTGCCTTGCCAGCATGTTCCTCGTGAAGGAATCGGTTGTTATCCTGTCTTCCTCCCCCTCCCCTCGATTTCCTACTCCCTACAGATTTTAACGGATTATTTTCCGGTGTGGTGTTTACAGGTGCCTTCATGAATGGGATTTTGTTCTCA